ATACACTAACCCTGACGTAACTATCCATGTACACCGTGTTATATATATAGCTTGCCAGTACACTATCCCTGATGTAACTATCCATGTACTCTCCCTGATGTAACTATCCATGTACTATATTTATGCGAGGTACTATGTCACAACGTGCAGATACACCACCTGTTGGGAAATGTACGTTCCATCAGTAGTATAACCTATCTGTCCACTATATATATTAGGTATCTGTCTATGATATTACATATCTCTGGCTGTATCTGTATCCCAATATATCTGTAGTTATGTATATCTGTGGTCTGTGATCTATAAGTATCCGTGGTGTAACCAGTCACCTAGACATATACCTGATCAGGCCTATCAATGGTCTATCAGGCCTATCAATTGTTCTGCCGCATGTTTGTGTCAATACTGAGAACATGGTAAGGAAAGATAAATAATAATGGTATTGACACGAGTGATGGAAAGTCGACTCTTGTAGATTAACCTGGAGCTCTCGAGTTTACAATATTCAGAATTCTTGAAGCTTACAGTTATCACACACCAGGGACGCCTACACCACGTGACACGAACCTGTTTCTTTCCTATGTCGTAGCGTACAGCGACAGCCATCATGAATCATAAAAACATTCACACTTGTCTTCATATTGCTGTTGTAAATATTACATCAGGAAATTACATGTTTCAATAAATAATGAGCCGTTAGATGTTCCTGGTGTATTCTTTATATTGATTCTGAAAGGAATAGCTTGACTCACGCGTGGCCCATCTACAACTCAACCAGTCTAGCGCAACAAGTCCGTCGACAGTCAGACACACTGTAGACATGTGATGGCAGCAGCAGGATCTTACGCTGCCATCTTGTGGGGATTCATTTACATATACTCTCGAACTCGAAACGCACTACAAATAAATCACTGAATTTATTGCAACGGATGTGCAATAAATGCTTTCAGGTTAAAAGTAAATACTTTCAGGCAAACAGAAGCAATGTTAAAACAAAACTTGAAATATTGCCCAATACCTCACGTATGGCGTAATCGGATTCTGCATAATTATGTTCACTCACTCACTCCAGCTATGTTTATTAGCTTCTTAGTCGTCATAACATAGTGTTGTACTAGGAGTAGACAAACATAATGCATGCACGCGCGTTTCCGCGTATTTACTGGAAGTAGGGAGTATTGGCAGTATCATACTATACTATGTTTAAAAAAGCGTTAAAAGTCCTTTGTGATTCCTTTGGAAGTTAAGTCGAAATATAATGACACTTCCCTCTGTTTCCTTGACGTCTTAGCTGTTTGATGTTCTGTTTAAACATTCGAGCAATGGAAGGCCTCGTGTCTCTAGTGGTTTAGCTGTAGCAAAAACCAGCATCCATTCTCAAAATCAGACCGATTCAATTCTGTGTCTGGTCTGCAGTCTACAGTTAATATCTTCTTGAAGGTCTATGGCGTTTTCTTCAAAGCGTTGGCACAAGGAACTTCATATTGTTCTCAGCGACTGTGGATGTTTTTCGGTTAGATCGGAATGATATAGTACTCAAAGGGGGTTAAAGAAAGTCCGATGTTTTCATATTAGTATATTTATATGTAGATTGTTAGGGGTCGGATGTTCTGGAATAACGTTAGGAGAGACTGGAGATCGTGATGGTTGATCAATGCTGTGCAATGTTACAGATGCGAGGCTTGATTGTGAAAGTCATATAAAACACCAGTGTACGTGTGTGTGATTGTGAAAGTCATATACAACACCTGTGTACGTGTGTGTGATTGTGAAAGTCATATACAACACCTGTGTACGTGTGTGTGATTGTGAAAGTCATATACAACACCTGTGTACGAATGTGTGATTGTGAAAGTCATATACAACACCTGTGTACGTGTGTGTGGTTGTGAAAGTCATATACAACACCTGTGTACGAATGTGTGATTGTGAAAGTCATATACAACACCTGTGTACGAGTGTGTGATTGTGAAAGTCATATACAACACCTGTGAAGGTGTGTGTGATTGTGAAAGTCATATACAACACCTGTGTACGAATGTGTGATTGTGAAAGTCATATACAACACCTGTGTACGAGTGTGTGATTGTGAAAGTCATATACAACACCTGTGTACGAGTGTGTGATTGTGAAAGTCATATACAACACCTGTGTACGAGTGTGTGATTGTGAAAGTCATATACAACACCTGTGTACGTGTGTGTGATTGTGAAAGTCATATACAACACCTGTGTACGAGTGTGTGATTGTGAAAGTCATATACAACACCTGTGTACGAATGTGTGATTGTGAAAGTCATATACAACACCCGTGTACGCGTGTGTGATTGTGAAAGTCATATACAACACCTGTGTACGAGTGTGTGATTTTGAAAGTCATATACAACACCTGTGTACGAGTGTGTGATTGTGAAAGTCATATACAACACCTGTGTACGAGTGTGTGATTGTGAAAGTCATATACAACACCTGTGTACGTGTGTGTGATCGTGAAAGTCATATACAACACCTGTGTACGAGTGTGTGATTGTGAAAGTCATATACAACACCTGTGTACGAGTGTGTGATTGTGAAAGTCATATACAACACCTGTGTACGCGTGTGTGATTTTGAAAGTCATATACAACACCTGTGTACGCGTGTGTGATTTTGAAAGTCATATACAACACCTGTGTACGAATGTGTGATTGTGAAAGTCATATACAACACCTGTGTACGAGTGTGTGATTGTGAAAGTCATATACAACACCTGTGTACGAGTGTTTTATTGTGAAAGTCATATACAACACCCGTGTACGTGTGTGTGATTTTGAAAGTCATATACAACACCTGTGTACGTGTGTGTGATTGTGAAAGTCATATACAACACCTGTGTACGTGTGTGTGATTGTAAAAGTCATATACAACACCTGTGTACGAGTGTGTGATTGTGAAAGTCATATAAAACACCTGTGTACGTGTGGGTGATTGTGAAAGTCATATACAACACCTGTGTACGAGTGTGTGATTGTGAAAGTTATATAAAACACCTGTGTAGGTGTGTGTGATTGTGAAAGTCATATACATATACAACACCTGTGTACGAGTGTGTGATTGTGAAAGTCATATAAAACACCTGTGTACGTCATATACAACACCTGTGTAGGAGTGTGTGATTGTGAAAGTCATATACAACACCTGTGTACGAGTGTGTGATTGTGAAAGTCATATACAACACCTGTGTACGAGTGTGTGATTGTGAAAGTCATATACAACACCTGTGTACGAGTGTGTGATTGTGAAAGTCATATACAACACCTGTGTACGAGTGTGTGATTGTGAAAGTCATATACAACACCTGTGTACGAGTGTGTGATTGTGAAAGTCATATACAACACCTGTGTAGGTGTGTGTGATTGTGAAAGTCATATACAACACCTGTGTACGAGTGTGTGATGAAGTACATGAACCAACCAAACATATTTGTGTAAAGATTTCAACCCGTTGTTGAAAATAATGTCTCCTGTGTATTGCGTCTTCTTTGCTTCTCTATAATAATATGAAAGATGGAAGAGTGGCGTGGTATCGAGAGAAGTTGATGAATAATAGTGACGTAGAGCGGCGATAGGGTAGCCTAGTGGGCAAAGCGTTCGCTCATCATATAAAAGACTGTGTTCGATTTCCACTTTAAAATTGTGCAGCCTCCTTCCCCGGAAGTGATCTGCAAAAACATCTTTCATACATGTCTCAGTATTTGCTTTACATGTTATCAGTTTCATGTAGCATGACAGAAAAAAACCGTTCAGTATAAACGCTTCGAACAGAGCTTCTCTTCTTCGTTAAATCATATAGCATGGTTCATGCATAAAACATGGCGTGTGTATTGATATTGTGGGTACTGCAGAAACAAAATGGACATTCCTTTTACAACGTAAGGCCTCATGTTTCATGAGTTTGAATTACGAATGAGTGTGTCATCTCAAACTGATAGGCATATCGACGTTGTCGCCCTTTGCAGCATCTATGGATTCAGTCGTGAATATTTATCACGCAATTCCTCGCGATAAATTACCCTTACTTGACATCGCAGTAAATAAGCAAGTCTCGCGAGATCTCCAATATTGTCACTGCGAGGGATAACGTGTTAGGGGAGTCATTATGTGCGTATGGTTTACGTTCGAGACCATGGCGCTTCTTAAGACGAATCTGGTTGCTGCAGCAAGATGTGGATGACATAAGACTTTCGATAGATTTATAGGAAAAAACATGATGAATCTACAGTTTCACATCCAGTCGCCATTTATTGATTTATCTCTCGTCGCAGCCACAAGTTTTTTCATGAATATTTATGTATGGATGTGCTGTTGGACAGAAGAGTCGTTACATGGTTGAAATATTTCTGAGTAAAGATAATATGGTAGCATACAGTACATTTATACGCAGCCGTTCATGTTATAGATCAAAACTTATGTTTTAGATTCATCAGTTATAATTATGATTGTTGATTCCATGTTTGTTGTTTAATAAGTGCGGTGGGGTAGCCTTGTGGTTAAAGCGTCACGCCGAAGACCCGGGTTCGATTCCCCACATGGGTACAATGTGTGAAGCCCATTTCTGGTGTCCCCCGCTGCGATATTGCTTGAATACTGCTAAAAGCGGCGTAAAACTAAACTCACTCACTCACAGTTGGTTAATATCACATATTCCAGCTGTATGACGGTAGTCTGGGAATAAATCAATTACAGGTCAGACAATCTAGTGATTGACAAACTCAGGATCGATGTGTACATTGGGAAAACGATGACATGCATCAACCAAATCACCAGATCCTGCTGATCACTTACGACAAGCATTGGTCCCTGAGGACCACTTCTAGCCCAAAACGTCGTGGGGAATAGGCGACAGGAGGTGGTAGGTTGTTGTTTAATGACGTACACTGATCTTGATTATGTCAGTCCTTAAGGAAACTTTAGGAAACGGTTTGGTAGCCTAGAAAGTACATGATAGTTTACCTGTTGACAGATAACGATGTCATAGACTGCTTCTACTGCACGACGGTCTCCCCCTCCCGCGACGACTACTGTGGGGACCCTTTCAACACAACTCACCCCCAGCTAACCAAGGTGCCATGCAAGGGATACTGCGCCAAGTGGGTCACAGAACTCGCTTCCGGTAAGGGGTAATGAGTGAGTTCACTTTCTACTCTACACAGTATGTAACATAATGAACACTGATGACACAACAAGTACATTAAAATTTTCAACTTCGCAGTAGCACTTTAAGCTCGAGGACAGTGGCAACTGTCAACCATGGCCCTCACCTTACCGTGAATCGTCAAGGACGACGCTACATCTGCTTCCTGCACGGCCCGCGGGGCTTCTCGCAGAAGTCACTGACGGTTTTATGCAACCGTACAGCTAAGACATGTAATTGTTATACTGAAGACAGTAAAAAAGGAATTGTGTAAATCTTGTTGATAACAACGGAAATTTGGTGCCACTGTTGCCTTGTCTACGATTTTACCGTTCTTTAAGCCTGCTTTGGTATGAAGTCTTCCAGTACTTATTACTTAAATGGGACATAAGCGGCACAGTAGTTTTGTTGTTATTCTCCCGTGGCGTTCCTTGATCCGATAATCGTGATGTTGAATCCATTAGCTCCTGATTAACGGCTGATGAATGAGTATGATTTTACAAAGCTTTTAGTGTTAGCCAAGGCGTTGGACACCAGACATGGTCTTAATACAAGGCAACCACGTGGAGAACCAAACCCGGGCCTCCTCCATGACAAGCGAACGCTTTAACCACTAGTCTATCCCACAACCCGTTGATGATGGACATTGGTTTGTCGGCTCTATATCGAAACCTACATTTCTCCATATTTCCCCTATCACCAAGCTGAGACGCCGCCATATAAAATAAATAATGCTCCCTCGCTTAAAATGGTAATAAGTGCGATAATCAGCTGCTACATTTGAGAAAAGAACGTTTAGACTCAATGTTAACAATTGAAGGAATTACTGTTTTTATATGGCGTATACTAATAGAAAGAGCGTTTGCCCAAAACTACCTAGCATTGTAACGTCACACATGGTGCTGATATGGTAAACTAGGACGTCAGCGTTTACAGAAATTATAGCAACATGTACAACATCCGTTGTGTGTTTGAGTCGTTCTTGGTTAGCAGATGATCAGTTGCATGGCCGTGCCTACAGGAAGACATTCAGTGAGTCTGGGGGACAGTTCTGGGGGACAGTTATGTAAACAGGTTAGAAAGTCATGACGATCAATACAGCCAATGCCATCAAGCAAAAGCTGGTCAGAGATCTAGGTTGAGGTAGTACTTGTTGAACTAAGTTATCAAGGTGGTGGTCAAAGGCCATATGACATTCAGGGTGGGATGGGTAGGGTTAGGGTGGGGTGGGGTGGGGGGGTGGGGCGGTATGGGGTGGGGTGTGTATTGAGTTCAGATAGTTTTCAACTGTATCTCCAAAACCAAATGCTTTAAACTAATCGAATCTGAGTACGTTTTCAATAACAAGTACCTTGATAAAATGTTATTTTCTCATGATTTTTAGCAAATTTGGGGCAGTTCGTTTTCGGTAAAATTTCAGCCCCTCTCCAGAAATCTCCAATGGTCATTCCTCAAACCACCAGGGAGGGAGAGGGAGTACAACAGAGAGCTGTCGATCCAAGTAACATATGTGGGAATCCGTTTTGAGAAGAGCATCTAGAATGTTTCTTTTGTATTTGTACCTCCCAGTACATATGGTAGTCGCTCATTTTGCAAAACCTTATGTAAAGACAACCCGCAGAAACTGGAAGAACAAACTAAGATGGAAACTGTAACCATGGTAACAAGTCTGATTCAGGTGATGAGTATCATTACTTCAAAAGTGACTACATTACTATCATCAGAAGCTGATATACTAGCATCTGACTTTACTCATTTTCCCTGCAAAAAGCATGATGTATGTGTTTTAATGTAAAACTGTAATTGGTCCCAGGAAAATTCTTTAAAATCATTATGAAGTCGTCTGCGATATATTTGTAAGGTTTTCACATATGTCCTCTGTTGGCCTCAGTATACTATGCTAATTAACCTTGAGTGAAAACAAAGTTCAGTTCAGTTGGGAATGTTTTAAAATATTGCTGAAATTATCCTAAAGAGACATCATTAGGGTTCAGGTTTATCGTTCTGAACGAACCCGTCAGCGGGTTACCAGTCAGCGATGCTACAGTTGCTTTCATTTAGTATTGATAAATACTGATGGAAATAAGGTGCCAGCTTAAATCATATAGGGAAGTACTTCCATTTCTGTCGCCAGAACAAAATATAAAGATCCTTTTCGAATCCCAAAAACGTCAACCCCAGAGTATGATCATGCGATCATCAGCCCAAACAGTTTGTATTGGGTGAAGGGAATAACTGAAATCAGCGATGATACTTGAACTCTGACATTTGAAAACATCTGATAACGGTCCTAATCGGCGGTTATGACTCTTCGCTGTCATTTTGCTGACAACAGACTGTGTCTTAGATAGTTACCTTGAAGTCGACTTACGATCACAGCAGCCATCGACAGAGTTGCTTAAGGCAATAAACGGAGAGTGATAACTACAAATATGGTAGTCTGATCATAATACGCGTTTACGATGGTCATTAAATAAGTGTTTTTAACGTACATGGTTTAACCATGAAACATTGTTTTCCTAAGTACAGAAGAGCTAGTTGTTTTGGGGGGTTATATTCGATACTCAAGAAGTAGCCGTTAAAACCTGATCTTACTAGCGTTGTGGTTTGTCGTCCGCTGTGGTTTGTCCTTTGTCATCAGCAGTTAACATAATCCGGTATTGTGTCATTTCGTATAATCAAACAAGCATTTGTGTACAGTAGGTACAATCTACGTGAACAGTCAGTGGAGCATATGATGCAATGTGTTTATGTCAATGTCCAATATAACATTGGGTGGACGTAACACAGAGAATACTCTCTTAATAAGGAGTCAATGTTAACAGAATCTTTCCAGTCGGATGTTCTCCGCATCAGGAGCCCTGTCGAGTTAATGACGTAGATGTATGTTGTGTGAGATGAAGAACCAACCTCGTCCAATCCTGTTATCAATACTATTAAAGAAGTACGTGCTAGTCCATTTCCTGGTGATACGTTTTGGAACCACTTAATGATTGTGCATGGATTTAGAAAATGATTTTTCCATTCACAATTCTTTTAAGCGTTTTTCATGATGTGATGTTCTCGTGAACATGGTCCATGTACAATTCAGAATATATAGTGAAATGTGTCAGTGTATTGCTGAACATTTGAGTGATAAAAACCAGACTGAAAGTTGTGTTGATATTGTTAAAAACTCTGTCACGTCAGGAACGGCCATGTATAGTTGGCATGCTGTAAACTGGACAAAGCATCGTGGCTTGAACTCTTAACTTTTCACAATCGTATATTTACAGAGTACAATCACGATAGCGACAACTAATTAACGTTGAAAACGGAATTCGATGTGGTCGAGTAAGGACGACAACTGACGCTCAATATGGTTCATTAGAACGACTGTATTACGAAACCGTGATTAAAATGCCTCTCAAATTTGAGTGTGTCAGAGTGAGTGGACAGAGGATCTAATCGGCTACAAAAATGGAATTTGCATGCCCAACGACCACGTGTGATCTCACGTCGCGTTACTGCAAGACGTCGTTGGTGTCTTGAGCGGCACCGCTGGACCAAATGTCGTTGCGTTATGTTTTCGGATGAATCAAGGCTTACTTTGAACCACAGCGTGCGGCGTAGATGGGATGGGTGTTTTCATGCCGTTAAAGTAAAACAGAACGATCGATTTATGGCTGCTGCGTAATGGTCTTGGTTGGGATCACTGTGACTGGCAGAACACCTTTACATGTTAATCACGGACATGTCACTGGGCAGTACTACCGTGACAACAACCTGGAGGTACACGTTGTGCCATTTGCGCACTGACATGGGCGTCGTTTAAAGGTCACATGCAACCAAATAATCAAACATAATTAAAACACAATTATCACTTATTCATGACATACAAATAACTATACATTGCTGATTATGAAAAAACATATAAACAAAATTATAAGCGTACAATCGCAAATCATAAGTGCAATATTTTGTACTTGGGTTTACTTCCCTAGAAACGAAGCAGCCGGGATACCGAACCCAGTCAGAGCGGGTGGGTGTGCACTCAAGTGTAACAGCTAGTTCATTTGCAGATGCCCTCACGGCTCATTGTGTATGTATATATAGAGATGTTGGGTTTTGTAAATACATGCTCATTTTTTGTGTATAACATTTTGCAATCAACAGACATCATAACATGTTATGTGTACAAGTATCACGCCTGCCTGTCTGTGTAATTACATAATGTGACAGAGACCGAACTAGGGCCATAAATCAATGCGTTTTGTTTATGGTGTATAGCCTGATAGGTGTTAAGTTGAAATTGCATGTGGTCAGTGATCGAAGTTGTGTATTGAATATTGTCATTAGCAGACAGGCAGGCAGACACATAGGTGTCAATAAAACAGACATTGAGTTTTGTCTGACAACGACATATATATATCACATTTACAAATTCTGTCAACTCTAAATAATGACATTGCTTTTAAGTATCGAGCTGAGAAAGTGACTCGGTAAGAAGAACAAGTGAAATTATATAAACAGTTAAATCGGTAATCTACTGTCATAACATATAAAAAGCTCGCGCCTGTGAATTATCAACAAAACATTACAAAAATAGGTCACACCAAAGCCTTCACCGAGTATTCACCGTACAACCCGCTTCCAAGCTGCGCGAACCTTTTTTCACTGCGCATGTGCTATGAGCGCAGCCCAGCTGTTGAAACCACTTTTTCCCCCAAACGCTGGGAGAAAATTAGTGAATCGTTTGAACTCCATACTCGCGCGGTTTTTTTCATCGCGTTATTTTTCAACTTTATAAGTTGAATTTGCATTTTTGATTATACCAAAAGGTATCAGAATCTGCAAAGTTGTGTTTTACGTTGCATGTGACCTTTAAGGTTTCAGGGTGACAACGCAAAAGCACACAGGGCTCGTAATGTTACTGGGTACATACAACAGGAGAACATAGCCACCTGTCCGAGCCACACCTGTCACCCATCGAACTTGTGTTTGGACATCATTGCACGATGCGTACGTCAACGTCACCAACCACGACTGCTCTCAACAAACTTGACGCTGCCCTGTAGGAAGAAAGGGATGAAATGAACCAATATGAAATCGGACGCTTGATTAGGAGTATCCATCGTCGAACATGCATGGGATTGTCTTGAAAATATAGCGTATTCACGCAATCATAATGACTATATTTTTAACTTTTCATTGTAAATGCCAGTCATCTAACCAAATCTATGGTCATTTGACTTTCAAAGACTAATGAGACTAATGAGACTGATCAGATGTCTCTGTAACACTGTGAAACCATATCCTTAAATATAGGAAACAATATTCTATTGAATATCCCTTACTTTTTTATTATATACTCTGTTTTCACGAACATGGGATATCAGTATGTGAGCACTAAGGCATTGTGTTAAATGGTTGTTTTGTCACCAAACCAAGCAATATTCCAGCTCTATGACCGGTGTGTAAATACTCGTCTTGACCAGACAATCCATAGACTGACATCAAGAACATCGACATAGGGTAAGATGATGTGCATCAACCAAGTCAGCAAGATTGACCACTCTACCGTTTAGTCGGTAGTTGCTGGAAAACCAGTTGTAATTCTCTAATTCGGATCTTCACGTTTGCTAATGGCACTTGAGGTGCTATACTAAGTTTCCCTGTTAAAACTTGTCAGGGGAGAATGGTTGGTTTTAAAATATTTCGAGTCTATGTCAGTGTTGGAAGTGGATAATCATGGAAGTTTGTAATACCTAAATATTAAAATCTCAAGACGATAATTAAATACAATTTTATACAGCAGTCAATACTGACATTGATCAGTAGTTTTCAGCGTGAATGTTGAACCGCCCTCGAGGTTAAGACCACCATCGAGGCCGCTGAGTTGGCCAGTTTGCTGGTAACGTTTCTGATCGATCATTCCCTGTCAACACATACATATCAAGCAAACATAGCGCCAAGGGAAACAACATTTCTGAAAGGTATCTCTAATGTGGCAGAGTTCTTGTGAGTTGACGGTTGCTACTGCAAGTGATATGCACTTTCTGAATACCTCTCGAAACATAGGTAGTGTTTCAACAGCTTGAAGTTGTTCAACGTGAGGGTTTCCACACATTGTCATGAAATGTTGGGGTCTATCATCAGCTCGCTTTCAATCGGTAATTTCAACTAAACCTCACACACGAGAGAGAGTTGCGTCTTGGCACTGTACACCTGAGCTTTGATCTAGCATTTCGATAAACCTATACTAGCCCCTGGATCCATCCCCGTGCTTCTCGAAATCACAGGCCTATCGTAGGCTCAGTGTTGGGCTGGCGATATCCGCAATGTCCTTTCATTATGATCGAGACGGTAAGTTATGAAAAAAACTGTAAAAGAAATGTAAAAGATACCCCAAACATTTTGGGAAGGAAATAGTGTGTATATTAAACCTGGCGGTGACTTTTTGAATCTAGGTAATTCGAACTGCCCCAGTTACATGTTCCTTTCCCCACTGTCGACGTTTGATTAGTCGGTAAATGAAAATGAAAATCAAGGTAATTTGCAGCCGCAAGAACTACTGATTGGATGTTCTTGTAGGTTTACCAACATGCGAGGAGATGGACGGGGATGGTGATTCACCAAAGTATTTTAAGCCCAATGCCTCCATCACTTAGAGTTGTCCTCCCACATGCAGCTGAGACGATGTGATATAACTCACTTTATATCCACTTTAAACCAACACCCACTCTCCACCCAACTTGTGCCAAATGTGCGTGCGACGCGCTGATATTTCGTTATTGACGTTTCGGTGTAGATCCTAACACTGTTATCAGTGCGTGCCCAGTTGGGAAACGAAAAGAATAACCCAACGTTGTAATAATGCTGGCTGAGGGTACTGCAAAATTGTTCAATTATGAATACCTCACCATATACCAGTGCTGGTAGGTAGTGTGTATAGAAAGAATGCATACAAACAAATATGGCCAGCACTAAATTTCATTTGTCAGAATTGTCCGCCAATAGTATTTAAGAGATTCAAAAACACATCTTTCGTAAGCTTCTTCTTCTGTTTCACTTTCTTCTTCTTCATATCATTACTGTCGACGTCTTATTACCGTCAGTTACTATAACGACCGTATGAACACCAGTTGTCTGAATTCTAGTATCTTACTTATTACTTAATTTTCAACTTTCCTATACAGACTGAGTAAACAGACATTCCTGAGTGAGTCAGGGAAGTGAGGTGAAACGGGGGTTTAACGTCGTACTTGAGAATATTTCGCTCATATGACGACGTGCATGCGTGTGTATGTGTGGCTGCCTGTACTAGCCCACACTTAAGCTGGTTTTATAGTGCTAGCTGACTGAGATACCATGCCGCAGTGAAGCATGAATACATCACTCAGACACAGTATACTGATGTACCCATTAATGCCGAGCGCCAGGCAGGGACCAACAAGTAGCATATTTTAACGTCTTTTGGTATGACGCGGCCGGGGATCGAACCCGCGAACTTCCGCTCTCCGAGAGGACGCCCTAACCACTACACCAGGGAGGCGGTTAAGTGAGACAGGGAACAGTAGGTTCATTGTGTTGTTGTTTTCCCGCTTTTGATAAACCTGATCCAATAACATAGAGAATCTGCTTCTCTTTACAGGCGCTGTACATTACACACGCACTTGCTCCAAAGATATCAACATGAAGATGCACAAGCACCTGGTGTGTATGAAAGAGAGGGGGTCTCGATACGGCCATCTTTGCTTCTGCGACCAGACTGATTGCAATGCCGCAGTGCCTGCTGGTACTTCCGGTTCGTGGGCCGCAACCTTGACCTTAACTGCTCTACAGTTTTTTCTGATGAATATTTTCCCAACATGATATTCTTTCGAGCACTTAGAACTGTGGTTAATATTTATATCTGTCGGCCCAGCCGCATGGGAAATTGTGTCCTGATTATTGTATGACAAGTATTGTCAGTATTTGCCTTCGCATGACATGCAGTGTATCAGGGTTTTGTAATGTACATTTTCCAAGTCACTTTATTGAAGTCATTTTGACACATTTTATATTGTTGATCAATGTTTGTTGATATTATATCAGTATTTCATTTTCACATTTTTATATGATTTGAACTGTTGTGACAGGAAATGACGCTTTTTGGCTTATAAATTTCCCCCATAACTGTCAATCTGCATGATACTGGATATGCACTTCATTGTAATTAAGGTGACAGAAACAGCGTGTGTTTTACAGGTAATCAGTCCTTTGTTCGCTGGAATATTAATGTATAGTTGTAAGCTTTATTGAAACAAGTGGAATTCGACATTACTGAACAAGAGCATGGACGGACTCGCGTGTAACGTGTTTTGATCTTACATTTGATGTGGTTCGATAAAAATATATTTGTAACGAACAATGATTATTTCATGCCATGGTTAAGTATGGAAAATGAAATTTCAAAAACACTGTCAAAGTAATTCTTAAGTTGGGGCGAACGTAAATGAGGTCTGACGTTGCGTTCAAGACACCTGCACTTTCTAATCATGCAGGTATGTCTGAGTGTGTGTGTGCTGTAAGAGGGCTATGCTACCCAACGATATTTGATTCCGAGCTCGATTAGTCGATGTTGAGCGTTTAAAAAGTAACACCAATTCCATCCTTATTCTGGAATCACTGGGTGTCACTTCTTTACTGTCAATAAAGTAGAATACGAACGAAAACAATTTTTTTGATATCTTGTAAAGGATATCCTAAAAGTCACCGTCCGTGATTAAAATTTAACAAAAACTTTGTAAAATAGCAATAAAAACACAAAAAACGTACTCGTATTTCCGCCTATTACGGAAACACCCGACAGTTAATGAGCAGAGGGGGTATCACGTGACATGCCATCATATGTGCCTGCTGCTGCTGGCTTCCTCGTGGATTTTACCTTACAACTTAACAGTGTCCATGGATTCTGAAGCAGTAAAAGGTGTTCCTGATGTCATTTCTGAAATGGATGTTAGACCGTATCAATACGATCCGATTTTACATCTTGCAAGACAATCTTCCACTGAAGATGAAGAAGAAGAATCAAGCGAAACGGAGGCACTGCTTCAGGTCAAAATAAATTTAAAAATAGACCTTATCATTTAACAAGAATACTATTTGTCAGCAAATTGTGATACAGTTCCAACCAGCAAACCCACCCCTATAAATATATGACCAGTCCCAAAGAAGTATTTTTTTGAAATGTGATTGCAGATCCTTTTGTATCAAATGGGTGACTGTAAGGTGTCTGGGATTTAAAAACAAAATAATTATGCTTCAAACGGGGGAAAATAGAAATGTTTTGCTACAAAAAATACACTGAAAATATTTTGTTGAAAAAAAATAGGATCCTAGTTCTCATTAATAACGTATCAAGTCTCCATACAAGATCCCACTCTGGTCGAGCAGAGATAACATTCGAGACGCAGATAAGTTATTCCCCGAAAACTGGTGAATTATAAAATACTAGTCAGGACAATGTATGTTTCCCCAGTGTTTGGTTATGGAAATAGTTATAGTACTCGGTCATAGTCTTAGAATGACATCTTGTCAGCCAATGAGAACAGAGAACAACTTTCACGGCACACACTACTGACAAATAGCGAGTCTGATGTCAACGTGCGTAATTGGACAAAATGGAAAACAATGAAAGCAACAAGTAGTTCATGATTTGCCGTTGTATTCGGCAATGTTTCGGGTGGACTGCAGCATTTTGGGCTCCAAACCGAAAAGAACGTTATAGCGAAACATTTTCAAGCTCATGTGAAATCTCTTACTGATTTTGATAATATATATCTCATAGGTACCAGTCGATCTGCCCCAGCTACAAAATGCCCCAGCACATTTGGTCATTCATTCTAATTTGGTCAAATTTATTTAAGATGATTAAATATATGCCGTAAATGCATAGTTTTTGTCAACTTTGATATTATGTTCTTCATATAAAAGTTATTAGGAAGTAATATTTGTGATAAATGTTCCATCAGTAAACTCATAACTATGTATATACTTTTATATGAAGAACATAGTATCAAAGTTGACAAAACTATGCATTTATGGCATTTATTTAATCATTTAAAATAAATTGGGTCATTTTGACTAAAACACACATTGACTATCAGAATTGTTCTCAGATATTTCTTATCACTCAACCTAGGACAGAGCAAGCAACTCGTGCTGTGATAAGAAACAGGCACCAGGCTGGATTTTAAAACAATTAATATAAAATAGGTTCTGCCCTACAATGAAGCACATTTTGCACATGCAGTGTCTCTGTAGGCAAGTGATTTTGTAATATGCCAGCAGTAAATGGGTACCCGGTAGGACGAGATTTTTTGTAACTGCTTCACGGTCAGCCTGGGTTATATACTTCCCAGGGAGATGAGGAAGTGCACACTGATCCATCTCCAAGGCAAAAGTATACAGCACCACCATCATTCACCCTTGAATGGGACTTTACAATTTATGAATGCAAAAACAAAATAAGCTGACAAGAGAACAGATTGACGAAAGGAAGGTAAAAATGAGATATACAATTTACAGATGCATTTTTATTACCATTGGACGTATCTAACTATTACACATTTCTGCGATGTACATAATAGCTCAACGCGATCTTTGGTGACGTTTTCTTGACTAGTGTTGTTTGTATGCCAGAAGTGTACGTCTAAGTGCTGGCAAATATATAGTGCTATATTGTATGGTTCTGTTTGCTATGTCTCAATCTAGGTATCAAAGTAGTAGAAAGGGTTGTTGCAACGCATGTCCATAGCTGACCACCTCCACCTTCACCAAAGTTCATTTGGGTCAGATTATAGGATCTATTATCTACATTGATTGTAAAGACTTGGATTGTACCATGGTTTGTCTGTACATGTTTCAACCTGGGTTGTCATCCCCTCGGTTTGAAACTTGTTGTGACCTGTGGGTTTCCGTCAAGACTGATAAGCCATTTTTTTCGTCTAGTCGAGTCTGTGTTAGCTCTTCATGCACAAGGTGCAGGCTTGATTGCCCTCCACGGTGGACAGTTCTGAATTTTGTCTTGAAAGCTGATTTCCTCTAAATTGGGACTCAATGCGAGATCATTCACAAATCTGTACCCACATTTTAGAATAGCATTGACATTTACAACACCCTTTCCGCTGTATGTTTATGAAGTACACCCTAGACTAGGTACAAACTACATATTGGTTATATAACATTCACTAGATTTGTATTTCTCATTGCTCTTCCAGGTTTATGCAAAGTCTAATTAGATTTTTGCGTCTTTCAACTCACTTTTACAATATGCAAACCAACAGTTTTTGACTGAAGTTGATCACAAAAGTTACTGCTTTTACCTTCCTGTATATTATTATCTATATACATTACCATTGTGTGAATAAATGCTTTATATACTGTAGCAAGGACTTGTTATTCTGTCCTTCCGCAAAATGTTCTTCAACAGTTCATGATTGATTTTCAATGTTTACGTCAACGCCAGATATCAACTATCCGGATCATCAGCCGTTACTGGGTGCCAATGCCACAGACCCGTGAAGGTCCGGGTTAGAATGCATCTTCAGTAACCCATGCGTATCGTAAGAGGCGACTAACGGGATCGGGTGGTCAGGCTCGCTGGCTTGATTGACACATGTCATCGGTTCCCAAAGGCGTAGATCGATGTTCATGCTGTTGATCATTGGATTGTCGGGTCCAGACTCGATTATGTACAGACCGCCGCCATATAGCTGGAATATTGCTGAGTGCGGCGAAAATTATACTTACTCACTCACTCGTAAGAGGCGACAAACAGGATCGGGTAGTCAGGCTCGCTGACTTGGTTGACACCTGTCATCGTATCCCAATTGTGTAGATCAATGCACACGATGTGGATCACTGGACTGTCTGGTCAAGACTCGATTATTTACAGACCGGTGCATATGCGGATCAAGAGGGGGAATCCAGGAGCACGCACCTCCCCTTTTGTCCTGGTAGTTTATGGCCATTGAAACCCTCGGGAACACGGGTGAAAACGAACTGTGCACTCCCCTTTCTAAGAAAGCTGCATCCGTCCCTGCTATGGGTATCACTCAGGATCCCACACAGGGTCCGACCAACCCGGGTGCCCGAGTTATCCGTCCCGGCCTTACTCAACCTAACGTGAAACGATGTCTTTTTCACACTTAAAGTTCTAATCAAAGAACGTTTCCACAATCACAAAATTCACAAACGACAAACAAATAATATTATTATCTTCCTTCGCAACCTCTGTTTTAAGGCGATCATATTTCCCGGTTCTCCAAAAATCCCCCAGCGGTAAAAAATCGCAACATGAATTATCTCCCTTCTTGCTATCCAATCCGATCACGTGTTACATCGACTTAGATCCAATATGGCGGCCGCCATGGAGTTAGTTGATCAACGTGCGAAGGATAGATTCGGTATTTCATCTTTTACTGAAAAGCAGAAACCAGCAATAGAGAGTGCAGGAATCAATCGACAAGATGTTTTGTTGATGTGACACACAAGGCATTTAATGGCCAACATGTCCGTTGCCAACGAGGGCGATGGAGACGCCTTTGATCCGCCATTACATAACTGGGTTCTTTCTATAAGAAACGTTTGCACATCGTGCTGGGGAAGAGGTTCTAGTTTTCCCGAAGCATACGGAAATTACCGAGGCTTTGCGAATGATCACTTTTGAAACAACGTCGTTGATTGCACAACTAAACCTGATTGCAACCAATCACGAATACAGAACACTCGCACCATGAAAGGGCCGTATTAGAACAGAGTTTACGTAGGAAGGTATGACAGGAGTAACCTCGGTGGGAAGAGAATGTATTTCCCCCAAATTCTAGTAAATAATGCTGTTTTGCTTCCCGAAGCAGTGCCCTCTGACAGTCAAGAGTTCCATCATCCGTCGGATAACTCTACTTGCAGTAGTCTTTTCGGTAAGTCGAATATGATTGGACTGCTGATTACACCAGGTAAACACCTATAGCAACAACCATTCACAATTTTCATGAAACAGGAAAGGTGATCAGATGGGTAAATGATGGACGGGTGATACTTTCCCCTGAACGTCAAGGGTGGGATTGGGTATGGGCGAACTCTCTGTTGGGGTGTTGTCGAGTTAACTGCCATAACAAGCGTGAATTGGTACTCATATTATTGACCTTGGATGACACGTATATCTTACATGTGAGCAACTGGTTACTGATACATGAGTCACAAGCCAAACCCTTGAAGATCCAGTCCGGGTTAGATAGGTCCAGAGCAACGGTTCAGAGGCGATCCGGTGGTCAGCCTCGTTAAGGGAGAGTTTATAATTTTAGAGAGAAGGCGGGGCTACGGTCCCTAACACCGTACCGCAATTGTGCAGGCCTGGGCCTCCTTTCACAAAGCACAAAGGTGATCGTAAGTCACTAAGGTAACCTTAGTGCAATGTTAAAGAATGGGAGTTAAGGTTAACCTTAGTAAAGGTTTGCTTTGTGAAAGGAGCCCCTGCGCTCGTTACGCTAATAACGTGTTTGACTCGAAGATTCCATTCTATACCTGGAATATTGCTTTGTGTGGCATTGAAACAACAAACAAAACATAACTGTCAAATTTTGAACACAGTGCCGGGCCGTACTGATGTTAAGGTAAGGATTGTAGTAGCGCTTCATTGAATATATGTATGTATGTTTGTACAATGGGAAAGGTGTAAAACCACTCGAAACACCATGATCTTTCTATCTTAACACGGAGATGTGGACAAAATATCAGATAGCAACCATGTGCATGTACAATTCACATTCACATAGATATCTTTTTACGTGGTAGCGCTTTCTTCACATATTTTACGGGCGCTTTAATGTACGATGTCATGGTGTCCTCATGAAACCCTCATCGCGTTCAATTAGAGTATGGTTTT